CTCTTTCCAGTACGTAGAATTTCTTCCACATTTGTGAAACCCCAATACAATATTCCAGGATATTTAAGAGCAATGATCCCAGCTCCTAAGCCACCTAAAGCAGGGGAGACCACAGTAGGAATGCCAAACTTATCCTGAATAATCTTAAACAATTTGGTGAACCAAGCAACCAACCGACTCATGGCCACACTTATAACACCACATAGCATTCCCAATATCAGGTATAAAGGTAGCTCTGCATGCAATATCATAATAAAATATCAGACATGTGAATCATGATAAGGTTTTCTTCCATTGAAAAACAAATAGCTATGATTAACACTGGTTGACAATAGAGCTTATGTACCAGTGACTAACTCTTTGGCCTTTCTCCACTAAAACAGATCATTGGAGCATAGGCAAAAAAGTTTCAGATCTATGCAATGTGATTAACAGGGGATTAAGACTTTGATAAACCATTTTAGAAGACAAAGGAGAAAAATAAAATAAATCTTTCTATTTTGTGTAGAGAGGTAAAAGAGATCCATATAATGAAAATTGTGTCTCAAAATATGCCTCGTAATCACTATTAATGAATATAAAAAAAATACAATACAATTTTCCTATTTACCTTATTTACATGATAGTATGATACATTGACAGACATAACGCACACCTCTAACACTCCCCGTCAAGCTAAGGCATATATAGCATTATATATCAAGTTTGTTACAAATATAACTTGTTTCAGATCCCTTGCTTTGTGGGTCTGGCAAGTACTAACAATCAGGATCTGCATTTGTTAGAATCAGAATCATATTTTTAGGAATTATTTCTGATCTAATTTCTAAGGATTTGCTGCAAATAAATGGATATCGGTCTGATATAACTGATTCCATACTCTTCATTGTTCCCCTCTTTAGTTACTGATTCTCAGGGATTGAAGAAGAAAAACAGCAACAACAAATAAGAGAGATCACTAAAAAGAAGGAAGAAGGACTCAGTGAGGAAGCCCTAGACAAATGTTGCAGACCTGTAGGCCTCTGAGACTTGAGAAAAAGGAACACAGCCAAGGAGAAAAAAGAACATAGCCAAGGCAATAGATGAAGGTAGACCTGGGACCTCTGAGGTTCAAACTTGAGATACATGCCCAGAGTGAAAATTGAAGGCAAGTCACAACTGGACTAACTGAACTACTTGGATTTGTGGAGTGTGTTGGAAAAATGAAGTCCCACAATGGTGGGTAATATGTAAACACATGAATATAAAGCAAGGGGTGCCAGGTCCAATTAGTCAGGCATTTTGGACAAATAATCCCACTCTTGAGTTGAAGTCAACATCCCAAGATCTCTCTTCAGTCTCCTCTCATTTCCCCCACATACAAAACTTGGATGGCAGATCATTAATTCCAACAGTTTATTATAGGATTGTATTTATACATCTGCTAATGGCCTATTTATAAATCTTACAAAATCTTTTCAGCAAAAATTTTGAACTGAACTCTTTTTGTTATTAACATGTATTAAGTTATTGAGTCCAAATTACAGAAATCACTTTTTGAGAATGAATGAATGAATGATACTAAAAAATGTGGAATTCTTAGGGAGTCAGAAGTACTTTTCATATATGCAGTACTTCAACAAAATCCTCCTAGAATAATGTGTCAATACCTCATCAATACAGTTAAAAATAAATACAGCATAAAAGGTAAAATATTCCCTTTTCAACTGGCAAAAAAATGAGATAACAGACTAGAAAAGACAAATATGATGACAAACCAAAACCATATATAACATACACAGCAAGGTTAAAGAAAAGTACCAGCTGCAGATTTCAAATCATATTCAGGTATGGTAAACGCTGATCGGATTCCCTGTAAAACATTTGATACAGTTGACGAGATAACAGAAGCCAATATAATCATGGCAGTTGTAAATGGGGGAGAGTTCTCTGCACGAAGAGGCCGCAGCACAGTTTCAATAGCAAAGAAACAACCAGCAACTGGTGCATTGAAGCCTGAACAGAGGAAAATTGAATGCTAAAACAACCAACATTTAGAAATTCAAAGCATAATCCAGATACTGCAAAATAAATTCATAATCTTAAAAGACACAAGATTAGCAAGAAACCACAGGATTGATTTAAATCTAGCAAAGCTAGGTGCCACAAGAAAGAAGAAAACTGTCAAGAGACTCGATCTTCACATAGAAAAGAAAATTTTGTCACTCAACGAGGTTTATTCACAATTTTAAAAAACTGACATTGGAACACAATGTAAAACAGCTTATCCTATTCAATCCAGAGCTCCATTAGAAAATAAATTCATAAACAAGCTACTAAAGAGTATGCGTGTAAACGTACTGCTCACCATAAATTTATGATATTCTGTTTAACTTATTTTCTGTGACATGGCAGCAACATAAATGTCCACAGGACTACAAATTTATTAACAAAACAATTCAGTTTTTCTATAAAAGAATAATTTAAGATAGGAAAGGGAACAGGATGATTAGGAATCCTCTTAGGGCACAAGAAAAAGGGGGAAAGCAAAAATGAATCATGTGAAAAGAGAGTTAATTAAATATTGTGAGCAGAGAGTTAAGCTAGAACTAAAAAAAAAAAATTAATTTAAAAAAAACTAAAACTAAAACTGAAGCCCACAAATCTTCCGCCTCTTTTATGGGATACGAGTGGTTTCCTTGGCCTCAGAACTCAACCAATGGTCATTTTCAAGAGGACTCATTGTCATATTTTCAAGGAATTGAAGCAATTTGTTGATGTATTTAGTTTTCTCTTGTGTTTAGTACCTTTTTCTTTTGCTTCTTTTAAAGGGATTTTTAACCTCTCAATTGTACCTTCTCTTTTCATTTACTTAAAAGATTATTCACTTATTAAAAAAATGACAAATGTCAAGAAACCTTATGGTCATTGGAGTTCTATGAAGTAAAACCTCTTGGGAAAAAAAAAAAAAACTAAACCAACAAAATTGTAAATTTCCTTGTAATTAAATTTGTGAAAGTTGGGTGTATGGTCTCTAGTTGATAAGATGTTATATCCTATTTGCTTTCAACCTTGTTTTCACCAAAGAGTGAATACCAGTATGTCCTTCTCTGGAATAGATGAGAAAGGACATCAAGATTTTGAACCAAGATGTGAATATATGGACCACAATATATGACAGGACTCACAATTTAACTTTTGTACTTTTTCAAGACAGAACTAATATTTTTAAGGTTTAAATATATTTTTAGTCCCTCAAATATAAGATAAATTTATTTTTAGTTCTTCAAATTTAAAACTGGTCTTTTTAGTCTCTATAATTTCAAAAAATCTTGTTTTAATTCTTATACTTAAATTTTGTTAGGAAATCTGTCAAATATTGTCACATAAAATCTACCTACAAGTGTCTCTATTAATGAAAACATCACATTAAACCTAATTGATGGTGCATAACTGTCTCAATCTATCACTGTCGATATGTTATTAGTGGCCTAAGGGACTAAAACAAGATTTTTGAAAATTACAAGAACTAAAACAAGATTTTTGAAAATTACAGGGACTAAAAGCAACAATTATAAATTTAAGGGACCAAATACAAATTTACCCTAAATTTGAAGGACTAAAAACATATTTAAGTCTAGCTTTAATTTTGACAAATTTGAATGGCCCATGTGATCATGAAGACGCTTTGGATATGTAACACTAGAAACACGAGACACAGAAGAAGTTGATTCTATTTCTAGATAGTAGAAACCTCAATATTCACATCCTACACCAATTATTTGACCAGTACAACTTTTATGTATGACAAGAATCAGAATTAAATGTCACTAAACAATTTAGAAGCCAGCTTAATTAATTAAAAAGACATAATTTAATGAAGCAGAGAGGAGAACTTGACCAATTGCTATAGCAGTCAACTTAGATCCATTTGCTAAGGTAAATGAGATGAGGAATTTTAGGGAACATGGAGGAGATTAAAGAACCATCACCAAAAATGTGATCAAAAGCACCTAAATCAATTATTTACGGATTTTAACCATTAATAGAGTGACAGACTAGAATCGTTGAGGCAATTGTGGCAAAATAACCTTGTTTCTGACATTGTTCCTTATCAAAACACCTGAGAAAGATAATTTCAACTCTTGGTGAACAGCGGAGACAACAAATAGAACTGAGTCGCAAATGAACAGTAATTGTGAATGCTCAACAACAGTGAACAGAATGCTTATGTAGTTTGGATAAAAATGCCACATGATGAACAGTACCATGTGATGAGCAGAACAGCAGAAAACAGTGATGGACAGCAGTGGACAGTGCTGGAAACTTGACCAAAAGAGGAGACAAGCAGGGGGGGATCAAACCCACTCTAACATCAAGTTGAAGACAAGATTTTGGTTAAATGCTTGAGTGAAGAAGCACTCAACAGCATCTCTATTTATAATCATTTGTATTGAATTACATTTAAGAGAAATAATTAGAAAATGTAACTCCCTATACCCTAGGATAATGATTAGCCATTATACATGAAACATCCTTTTTAGCTATCGTAGACATTAATTCCCTGGGAATAGAAACAGTTTCCAACACTTATCATTGGTATAAGAGCTAGTTGAGTTGCTAGTATCTTGAAAAGGGCCACCTACGAAGGGACTGACCAAAAAGACCAAGTGAAGCATCATAGAGTACAAACATTGAGACATCAATTCTTAAGGGCAGTGAGATAATAGGGATGTGGGTATTATGGAGTGCCTAAGTCCCACATCAAGTAGTATGGGATGCTAGGTAGAGTGTTTAAGTCGCTTGGTCCTCCGCTCTTGAGAGCTAGCTATTAAGGGAGGGTTCCCCAAGTGTTTGGGTGCTTATTGGTAAAATAGGAGATACTGTCCTGTGAAGAATAACAGTTGCAAGGGCAGTGATTTTCATAGATAGTGGCCACAAATCCCTCTGCAATAGCAGTGCTATAGCAGCAAGGTATTTGCAGCTAAGGTGTTGAGATATAGCAGTACTGCATCATTCTTCTTTTTTTATGAGAGGAAAGAGTAGAAAAACAGATAACACTAACACATCATGCATACTAGGATATGTTAATTTTGAAAAATCTAGGATGAGTTCAACATGGCAAGCATAGAGTGAACCAATAAAGAAATTTGATTTTTAGTAATTTTTCATTGGTTAAATCACCATTAAAAACTTTTAAGGAGGTTTAAATGATCAGTATATGAAATGAACAAATATCAAAATGAGTTTCAAAAAGTGACACCAACAATATTGCCAACTACCTGAAGAAATACCAGCTGCTGCACCAGCTGCAACAAGTGCTATTTTCCTTTCTCTGTTGTGTTCCATCATTAGTGAGAATCCATTGGCACATGACTTCCCAATATCAACACTAGGACCTTCAGGACCTAATGAACATCCAGTACCTAAAGTAACTGCAGCCTGGATAGCCTTTATTGTCGGAAAGATTCCTGCAAGAAAATCAAAACCCTGTGTTTGAGTTTGAGAGGAAGTAGACTGCTTTATTTGGTCCAGTATTTCCAGTAAACCACACATCATGCCAACAATGACTCCTCCAGTGACAGGTACCAAAAGGATCCGATGCCATGTATCAGCCAATCTCTGAATACGAAGCCAGGCAGCACCCTCATTTGGAGTACCAGCCCATACCCATTCATGTATTACATGCACCTAGATGACCACATTTCAGTATATGTCAGATAAATCATCCTCCTCAACAGCCTTGGTAAAGATTCTTACCAAAAAAATAGAATATGCATAACCAGATAGTCCAAAATCAAATGATTTTAGTGGTCAATGACGTATGACAAAGAAATAGCCAAAAGATAGGTATCAAAGATAGCTAGGGAACCGTGGAAGCTTAATTTATAAATGCGCAAGTTCTCACAAGAAAACTTAAAAAAATATAATAAATACAACTACAAGCAAGCTATTTCCCACTAGGTGGTTCAACTTACATGGATCAAATGATATCAAAATGTTGCTTCGTAAATCATGTCTACAAACAAACAATTGACTTCTAAACCCTTCTTAATTGTTTCTCCTATAATTTTTATTAGTTTCCCTCTGACTCTAATCACTAGGCAACCTTCTGATCTACTTTCCTTACTGCGACTTGTGCAGGTCTTATCCACACATGCTCAAAACCACAAAAGCAAGACTAAACAAAAGAAATAATTGATAGGCAATTGGGTATTAAGGGGTGCATGTGCCTAAGTCCCACATCGAGAAGTACAAGATGCTCATTAGAGTACATAAGTGACTTGGTTCTCCCCCCTTGACAGCTAGCTTCTAAAAGAGGGTTCCCAAATGCTTGAGTGTTTAAGGTATCAAAGCTGGTTGTCGGTGTCTCAAAAAGGATTATTTATGAAGGAGCTAACCACAAAGGGCTTGAAGAATTCAGACACCAGACCAAACCGGATACAATAATGCCACTCAGATTGGTTGAAGAATTCAGACACGTGCTTTCATCCTTATACAATACACCAGAACAAACCGGATAACTAAAGCATAATTTATAGTTTATCTAATTTCTAAACCAGCCCTACTTTTTAACACTTAAGGCAGTACTTCACTTCTAAGTTTTAAGATTAGAGAAATCCTTATGTACACTGATAGTTCTACACCAGTGGCCAGCCCAATACAAAAACATATGACAGGCAACATGAATGCATGCCATCTGATTAAATTCATAATGTTGGATGCAATTTAAACAAGATCTGGGTGGAGTGGGCTACATAAATCAAACAACACCATTATGTACAATCATAAATTATATCAATGAACAAACTATAGACCTCTAAATCCTTCTTAATAGTTTGGCCAACGGTTTTTATCGCTCTCCCTCTGCCTCCAGTAATTGGAACCATAGTTACCAAGCACATGGTACAGGTACAGGCACACAGTTCTTGTAGGTACCCAGTTCATCATTTTTGACATTATTATTACAAGAATTCCTAAAAAAAAAACACACACACACAATATGCACCAAGTGCTAACACAATTGTCTATCTAGAGCCTGGTTTGATGGCTTACATATTGTAATATCATTATAATGTCACATGTTCAAGACAAGACATCCTAAATTTTTCCCAAGCAACCAAGAATAACGTAATTCACACGAGATAATAGAGAAAACTCCGTAACTATCAAGGTTTCTAAAAAAAGTCAATTCTTTAACTATCAAAGTTTTAAACAACAGCCTGACACAGTAGTTTTGGCAGCAAATTCAAGATTTCTAGACTCTCCACTCTCCTCACTCACATTGCCACTGTAATTTACCAATGTCAGATTGAAACGAAACCGCAATTGCAATTTAAAACCATGGCAACTATGAATTAGACTATTGCCAATGTGATCCATAACACAAAGTACTGAGAGATTGAAAAAATAAAGAAAATTTGGCATACCCCTTTATTGAAAAATGCAACAAAGAGGCCAGTGGTAAGTCCAATGAGGCAACCAATAAGAAGCAACGCCCATTCAGGAGGTGCACTGTCGCCAAGGACATCAACAGAAGAATCCAGATCCACATCGTGAAGATGCCGATTGTGATCTCTTCTATCTCTATCTCTATCTCTATCTCTATCTCTATTCCTATCCCTATCCCTATCCCTATCCCTATCTTCTTCTTTGTCAATACGCTTGAAACTGTGTCGGTTACCCGACAACCTTAACAAATCTCTCAACCCTTTGTTGCTGCCACTGCCACCATTGCCGCTGCCAGTGACCGCCACCAATTCCGACCCCCGAGCTTCCACGTCATCCTCCGACAACCCCAGAAGACGCCGCTGATCGCTCTCCGACATTGAAAAAATTCCTCAGATTTCCTCAAAAACCCATCAACCAAATGGCCTCAACTTCAAAACCCACGTCTCAAATCGCTTGATTTTCAAAACCCATTTCTCTCTCTTGTTTAAGTTTTTTTTTTTTTAATTAGATGGAACCAAGATGGGTGAAGGATGATTCCAAACGAGTGGATCTCGTGGTGGCGTCACTGTTGCATGTGGCGAAAGCATATAAAAAAAAATGGAAGTAGCGTTAGGCACGTTTCCAATCGCTCGCTCCTTTTGCCCAATCGAATCAAACCACTGTTTGCGTCTTCTTTACTTCTCACAACCCTTTTTCTCTGAGGTGTGTTCTTCTCTTTGAATATGATTTCACAACTCCAGCCAGCCCCAGAAAGCGTGTTTTCATCAAAATTGAAAACTACGTGCCCTCTTTTTTTCTTTATGATTTACTGTCACCCAAAAATTGTAATTAGAGTCTAATTACATTGACTCTCCCTTCAAAAGTTGTTGCATTTTTTTAATCTAGCTGTATAATTACTATTAATAAAAGATAAAGATTTTATTTGGCGTTTATATTGTTGGACAATTTTACTTTTCTAACTACTTTTTATAAGTTACAAAAAAATTTCATTTTTTATATTTTAAATTTCACTCAGTTAAGTATTTTTAATAATTACTTACTTCATTATAATTTTTATTATTTGTTATTATTTAAAAATAATTTATAAAAATTGTTGAAAGATTATTTTTGAACCTATCCTATTTCCTTATAATACTTGTTATTTTTTGTCTGTCAGGTATCTCTTTTGGGTCTGGGTCCCTTATATATAAGGAGGCCTTGCATTTTGTAATGCACACTTAACTTGATACTATTGAAATAAAGACTGATTTGTTGACCCCGTGGATGTAGCCCAATTTCGATCAAGGGTGAACCACGTTAATCTCTTGGTGTGATTCTTCCTTTCTCATTTTTTTGTTTTTCTTTTCATTTGGTTTTGTTTCTCGGTTCTCTATTCTTGCATGTTTGTTCTTTTACTCTGTACAGTTACAACAAACTAGCATCAAAGCAAATTTTTTGCTGCATTTGTGAAAGAACATTCAAGAGAGATGTCAAACACCATCAGGATCGAGAAGTTTAATGGAAAGAACAGTTTCAATCTCTGGCGCATTAAGATGCGAGCTCTACTGAAGGAACAAAGAGTTTGGGGTCCTCTAGTTTCTGTTTCTGCGAAGAAGGAGAACATTGCTAAATCAGAGGAGAAACCAACTTCTGTGAAAAATGAAGATCTTGCAGAACAAGAAGAGAAAGCTCACTCATTGATTTTGTTGTCCTTATCAGATGAAGTTCTTTATGAGGTAGCTGATCAAGAAACGGCTAGTGGACTATGGTTAAAGCTAGAAAAGCTTTACATGACAAAGTCGATCTGTAACAAGTTGTTGTTAAAGCGACGATTGTTTGGTCTTCACATGAAAGAAGACACACCTCTACAAGATCATTTGGATGAACTGAATTCAATCTTGATGGAGCTGAGAGACATAAATGTCAAGATTGAAGATGAGGATGCAGCAATGATTCTATTAGCCTCACTTCCACCCTCCTATGAGAGCTTTGTAAATTCTCTTAGTGTCGGGAAGGAATGCATCACGATGGAAGAGGTAAAATCAAGTCTGCACTCGAGGGAGCTCCGGTTCAAGGCATCTGCAAACTCTGAGGGGGTAAATGGAGCAGGACTACTTGCTTTTAATTCCACCACGAATGGTAAGAAGAAGAAAGAACAAGGGAAGAAGAAAACTAAAGTCAATCCAAGAGACATCTGTAACTACTGCAAAGAACCGGGTCATTGGAAGAAAGATTGCCCAAAGAAAAGAAATCAGAAATCGGTTGTTGTTGCTGCCCAAGAAGACTCCTCATTTGAAAATGAGCTCGTACTGTCCATTGTTGACAATCATCAACATTTTGTAGAACAATGGGTACTTGACTCGGGTTGTTCTTATCATATGTGTCCTAATAGGAGCTGGTTCTTAACGTATGAGAAGAAATTTGGAGGTGATGTTTTCATGGGAAATGATATGGCATGCAAAACAATTAGTATTGGAACAATTCAGATCAAGATGCATGATGGTGTGATAAGAACTCTTACTGAAGTCAGACATGTACCAGATTTGAAGAAGAATCTAATTTCAGTTGGAGTTCTGGATACAAAAGGTTTCAAATGCAATGTTGAAGGTGGAGTGATGGAAATCAACAAGGGCTCAACTATTGTTATACGAGGTATCAAGAAAGGAAACCTATACATGCTTCAAGGATCAACCAATTTAATCTCAGAATCAATATCTGTGGCTGATAAACATACACTAGATTTGACACGTCTTTGGCATATGCGCCTTGGTCACATGAGTGAGAGAGGAATGATGGTGCTAAGCAAACAGAAGCTGTTGAGAGATCATACAGTAAAAGAACTCAAGTTTTGTGAACACTGTGTTCTCGGGAAACACCACAGGAGTAAATTTCCAAAGGCTCAACACACCACCAAGTCCACCTTGGATTATGTTCACTCAAATTGTTGGGGGCCCTCTCGAGTACCTTCACTTGGAGGAGGTAGATATTTTCTCTCTATCATAGATGACTATTCTAGGATGACTTGGATATTCATTATGAAGCACAAAAACCAAGCATTCAAATACTTCAAAGAATGGAAAATTTTGGTTGAAAATCAAACTGGTAAAAGGATAAAAAGGCTCAGAACTGATAACAGTTTGGAGTTTTGTTCTGCTGAGTTTAATGACTATTGCAAGAAGGAAGGGATTGTAAGGCAATACACGGTCAGGAACACTCCTCAGCAGAATGGAGTAGCTAAACGCATGAACAGAACGTTGCTGGAAAAAGCAAGATGTTTGTTGTCCAATGATAGCTTGACCAAAAGTTTTTGGGCTGAGGCTGTGAACACAGCATGATACTTGGTTAATAGATCACCCTCCACTGCTATAGGTTGTAAGACACCTACTGAGGTATGGTCCACTAAACCTGCAAACTATTCAATTCTTAGAATTTTTGCTTGTCATGAATCATATAATGTAAATGAAGGGAGGCTTGAACCTAGATCTAGGAAAGGTTTGTTCATGGGTTATGGAGATGGAGTGAAAGGGTATATAATCTGGTCACCTTCTAAAAAGAAGATTATTCTTAGTAGAGATGTTATTTTTGATGAATCCCACATGTTTCACCCGAGATTGGAGTTTTCTGTTACAGGAAAGATAGACAATGCAGTCAAACAGGTGGAGGCTGAAACTACTTCAAGTATAACTCAGAACAAGGAGTTAGAAGATGAAGCATTAAAAAATTCTCAAGAAGAACAAAACAAAGATAATGATGTTGATCAGCAAGAGGCAACTTTAAGGACTCAATCTGAAACCGAGCCTAGTCAAAGACCTCGAAGGCAATACAAACCCCCTATGAGATATGGTTTTGAAGACATGGTTGCCTATGCTTTACATGTAGTAGAAGAAGTGGACTCACCCGAGCCTACCACCTATAAGGAAGCTCTAAATCATGAAGATTCAGAAAAATGGATCCTTGCCATGGGTGAGGAAATGGAATCACTTCATAAGAATCAAACTTGGAAGCTTATCAAGCTACCTAAGGGAAGACATGTTGCTGGATGCAAATGGATATTCAAAAGGAAATCTGGAATTCCCGGTATTGAAACAGTAAGGTACAAAGCACGTTTAGTTGCTAAAGGGTTCAGCCAAAAGGAAGGTGTGGACTATAATGAAATTTTCTCACTAGTTGTGAGACATACCTCCATAAGAGTTTTGTTGGCCATTGTAGCTTGTCAAGACCTAGAACTTGAGCAATTAGATGTGAAGACAGCTTTCTTACATGGAAAGCTAGAAGAAGATATATTAATGAAATAACCAGAGGGTTTTGTGAGTCAAGGAAAAGAGGACTATGTCTGTCAGCTGCAAAGGTCTCTATATGGGTTAAAGCAGTCACCTAGACAATGGTACAAAAGGTTTGACAGCTTTATGATCCGCAAAGGGGTCAAGAGGAGTCCCTATGACTGCTGCGTTTATCACAACAAGGTGGAGGATGGGTCTATGATATATCTTTTACTCTATGTAGATGATATGCTGATAGTTGCCCGAGACACAAATGTTATACAAAATCTGAAGACTCTCCTAAATGGAGAATTTGATATGAATGACTTAGGAGCTGCCAAAAAGATCCTAGGGATGGAAATCTACCGAGATAGGACTCAAAAGAAGGTTTTCTTGTCACAAAAGGAATACATACAAAAAAATCTTGCTTCGTTTTGGAATGAACAATGCAAAACCCTTAAGCACTCATTTGTCAACCAAAGAGAGATTATCAGCTATTTTTCAAACTCAATCTCAAACTGACTTGGATTATATGTCACGAGTACCTTATGCAAGTGCTGTAGGAAGTCTAATGTATGCCATGGTATGCACAAGATCTAATCTTGCTTATGCAGTCAGTGTTGTGAGCAGGTATCTGAATCAACCATAGAAAGAACATTGGAAAGCTGTCAAGAGGATATTCCGGTACTTGAGAGGAACACTAGACATTGGACTCATTTATGGAACCTGCACAAATTGTCACCTGGCTGGACACTCAGATGCAGATTATGCTGCTGATTTGGATGGAAGGAAATCAATCACAGGTTATGCATTCACTCTTGGAAACTGTTTGGTGAGTTGGAAAGCCACATTACAACCTTTTGTTGCTCTATCTACAACAGAAGCAGAGTATATGGCTTTGACAGAAGCTGCAAAAGCGGGGATATGGCTGAAAGGACTGCTAACTGATTTAGGCATCATTCAAAAGTGTGCTCTGATTTTCTGTGATAGCTTAAGTGCTATATGTCTAGCAAAGGATCAGGTTCATCATGAAACGACTAAACACATTGATGTGCGTTACCATTTCATTCGAACTGTGAAAAGGATTAAGGTTCAAAAGATTGATTCAATACATAATCCTGCTGACATGTTTACAAAACCTGTCCCTAAAAGCAAGTTTATGCACTACCTTGACTTGCTTAATGTTGACTATTGGAAATAGCCTTTTTGTGGTAGGTGGCAACAGAGTTTATTTCTAAGATCATGTAGATATCTGTCTCAAAGAAGGTTCAAACGCAAGGTGGAGATTTGTTGAAAGATTGCTTTTGAACCTATCCTACTTCCTTATAATACTTGTTATTTTTGGTCTGTCAGATATCTCTTTCGGGTCTGGGTCCCTTATATATAAGGAGGCCTTACATTTTGTAATACACACTTAACTTGATACTATTGAAATAAAGACTGATCTGTTGCCCCGTGGATGTAGCCCAATTTCGATCAAGGGTGAACCATGTTAATCTCTTGGTGTGATTCTTCCTTTCTCATTTTTCTGTTTTTCTTTTCAATTAG